TTTTTTTTATGTTGAAGGTTAACTATTTGATATTGTAAAATTTTAAATTTTTAATATTAACTCTAAAATAACATTTTTAAGTTAATGTTTTTTTTTGTCTCAAAATAATTATCTTTTTTTAAAAAAATTTTAAATTTGTTTCATATTAATTGTTTTTTTTTTTTTTCAAGGTAAGTAAATTTTTTTTTTCTATTTTAACTCTATCATTATCTATTCACTTTAATTAATCATTCAATTACAAAATATATTTCTTTGTCTTTTATTTCTTTTTTAAGCGTATTATAAAAAAATACAAATATTATTTCTAAATCATTAATTAAAAAAAAGCAATTATTTTGAAATAAAGGGAATAGATACCAACTAAGTTAAACTCTTACTGATAGATTTATTTAGCCATAATTAAATGCAAGATTACTTCCATATAGTAACCAAGAAAGAATGCCCTCAAAAAATTAGTGTAAAAGATGTTAAAAGGGAACTAAATTGATAACTTTGGGGGAAAAAAAAGGTCTATTTATGATATAGGATCAAGTTGTTCTTAGGTTATATTGAAAGCAAAATGCATCTTTATTTGATTGATATGAGATTTTTTTTTTTAAGTGTTATTATTTAATGTGTAGGTCCATTCGATTTGAATTTCAAATTATATCACTTGAGTTAACACTTAACAATAAATGAGATTGACAAAAACATAGCATGAGGTATGATATCATAATAGAGGGTGGAAGCATATATAAGCTCATAACTAAAATATTTTAAAAAATAACACTATCCTTGATCTTCATAATTATTAAGAGGATAAAGTGCATGCAAAGTTGGTAGAATGGTACAACTACAAGTTGAAAAGGAGTGTGGGTGAAAATGTAAATCGACTCATTGCAATATATGTTTTTTTTCTAGCAGCTAGGTTGACTTTTCCCCCAGACAGGCAAGTGAAAATTTGTAAAAGAAAGACAGGCATAATTTCTACTTTTTTTTCCCTGGGGAAAATGAAAATCTAACCAAATCTTCATTTTCTTTGTAGGGTCAGCGACGGAAGCATCCCAAGAAACTTGTTTATCAGCTAAACAAGGAGTAGCACTGTAGCAGCAGCAGCAGAATCAGCTGCTCTTCTGCTCCAATCGAAATCCAAGTACATTTTTTTTTATTAATCTTTTGCTATTCAGTAATTATATTGAATTTCAATTAATTTGGAATCGATTTGCAACGGATTTCATTAAAAAAAAAAACCTCTATTAATATCTGTTTCTCTATTCACAAAATTTAAATTCAAAACTTTATTGAAGAGGAAACAACATCCTTCCACAATCCTGTTACTATGGCAGTGTGGCAACTAAATTCAGGTCACGTGATTGAGTCTATAAATCTTTTGTGGAGTCTGTTTGACTTAATTGTAATTTCCTTCTAAGACTTGATTTCTAATTCCTATAAGAAATGTTTTTTTATTATAAAATATACAAAAATATATATAATTTAAATACTAAAATTACTAAACACTTTTAATGAAAA